TTTCAGCTGATTCTTGATATGGGATCTTGATTGTTCTTCTTTGTACCAGCTTCCAGTTTTAAATGTCCTTCTTAAAATGTGGCACTCACAACATCTTCCATATGTGTTTTGATGGGGTAGCATTATCTCTCTATCTGTCACTCCCATGGGGGAGTGGGGACCATCAACTCCCATGTTCCGGACACCATACTTTATTTAATGTGAGGTAGAAACACATTCGCCTTTTAGGCCATGACGTAACACATTTGGCATGTATTGAACTTGCCATCCACTAAGACTGGCATATTTTTTTTCTTCAGAAAAACCAAAGTCCACCTAGATCCCTCCCATCTTTCTGTGTGTGAAACTAATTCTTCAACCCAAGTACAAGATTTTACATTTATATCTATTAAATTGTATCTTTTTAGATGGGCAGGTGGAGGTGACCCACAGCTTCCCTGTGGCTTTTCCTGGTAACTTTTGGGAACCAAATCTGTTTAACGGTTCAAGGACTCCTCCCACAGAGCCTGGCTTCAATGGGGTTTGAGGAAGGAGGGCCAGAGGCCCACCCTGCATCCCTGCCTCCCACTGCTTCCCTCCCCTATCCAGGGAAGTGGGGAGTTCATCCTGCACCCCTGATTGATTCCAGTTTAAAAGTCCTTAGTCTCTCTCAAGAATAAAAGGAAGGTCCTTATTACTGCCTTCCCACCAGGACTGTGGATCTAGGGAGTAGTTTTTGTTTTCTCCACCAAACACTGGTTGCTGGACTTACCTGTATTCTTAACTATATTGTTTGTGCTGCATTACTCAGACTTATCTACCTATGAGCAAAGAAAAGTTTAAAATAAAAAAAAATCATCAGTTCCATACACCATAAAATATATAAAGCTACATTACACCTAAAAGCTCTAAATTCAGGTCCCAGTGGCCGTTATGGAGAAATTAATTAAAGCTCTGCCCATTTTTATTTAAGAGAAGTGCCTTGGTATGTGTTGCAGCCACTGTGTGCATCTCAATAAAGAGTACCTCATGTTGCAGATTGTCAAAAAAAGAAAAAAAAGAAAAAGAAATCTGCGTGGATCCTGATAGAAGCAGCTAAGTGGTAAAGTGGGTAGAGTGCTGGGCCTAGAGTCAGGAAGGCCTGAGTTGAAATGCTGCTTCAAATAATAGCAGTGTGGCCTTGGACAAGTCACTTAAACCAGTCTGCCTCAGTTTCCTCAATTGTAAAATGGGGATGATGATGATAATGATAGCACCAACTCCCAGGGTGGTTGTGACAATCAAGTGAGATATTTGTGAAATGCTTATTAGCGCAGTACCTGGCACATTGTAAGCATTTAATAAATGCTTCTTTCCTTCCTTTTTTCCTTCTTTCTTTCCTTGCTTCCTTCCTACTTCCATCATCCTACCTATGTCAGCAAGGCATCCTGAAATTTCATCGTGAAATTTTATAAGCATTTCATATGTGTTTTCAGTCAAGTGACTTACAACAGCATCAAACAATATAAAGCCATGAGCAGAAGCCTAGGATTCCCTTCAAGTTAGTGTTAATGATTACTCTAGGTTTGGTCATTCAAGTTTCGAATCCACTTCGCTAAACCTCTGTCTTTCCATATCATCCACAAAGATAGATTATGAGGCTTTGTCAAATGCATCTACTCTACAGCATTCCACTGATCTCTCATTCTAGTTACCCTTTCAAAAAAGAAAATCATATTAATTTGGATTAACTGTTTTTAACGATACCATATTAAGTCTTCATGATTATTCTTTATCACAGTATGTGGCCCATAGTAAATGCTTATTTACTGCTTACTGACATGACCACTTCCCTTTCTGGATATTCACAAACTATCGCTTTTAGTAATGCCTTCTAGAAATTCACCATATGTTGAAATCAAGCTAATTGGCTACCCTTTTCATGGTGCAATGGAAAAAGTGCTAGGTTTGGAGTCAGAAGACCTTCCTTCAAATCCCAGCTCTGCCACTTATTACTTGCCTGACCTTGGGTAAAGCTTTCTTTCCGCAATTCAATTTTTTCATTTATACGACAAGGAGAGTAGACTAGGTGATCTCTGTGTCTCCCTTTCAGCACTAAATCTATCATCCTATCCCCCCCCCTTTTTTGAAAATCAGAGCAATATTTGCGCTTTGACAGCCCTATGTGCTTCTCTTGTCTTCTGTGACCAAAGATCTTGAACTGTGGCCCATAATCATATCTTTTGTTGTTGTTGTTTTTGAGTTGTGTCTGACTCTTGGTGACCCCATTTGGGGTTTTCTTGGCACAGATACTGGAGTGGTTTGCCATTTCCTTCTCCTGTTCATTTGCAGAGGAGGAAACTGAGGCAAACAGGGTTTAGTGACTTGTGCAGGATCTCACAGCTGGAAAGTGTCTGAGGCCAGATTTGAACTCAGGAAGAGGAGTCTTCCTGATGCTATCCACTGCTCTACCTAGCTGCCCATAATTACACCTACCAGTTCCTTTAGATGACTGGGATGCAGTTGGTTTAGGCCTTAGTGACTGAAACTCATCAAGGACATCTACATTCTCTCTTACTGCAATATCTCCCTTCTTACCCTGAGCAACAACTGTTTAGTCCCCATTTTTGTTGTCATTTCAAGTCCAAGGATTATTCTCCTTGGAAGAGAAAACAAAAGCAAAATCAGAGTTGAATAGATCTATTTTCTCACCATCATCTATTATCGCTGGGCATTTGACCTGAGCAGTACACCTATTTCCTTCTTCATACTTTATTTAAGGTCTATAAATATACTGGCTCTCGCCACCAAAGCCCCATCCTTTTTGTGATCCTTCTTTTCATTACCAACTTCCATTTATTTTGAGTTCTAGCATCCCTGAAACTATTTTAATAGGATGTTGTGTTTATTTTCTGTTCCCTGCCCCAGTTACCATCTTCTGTACATAGGACCATTGGGTAGCTAGATGGCGCAGTGGACAGAGTGCTAAGCATGGAGTCAGGAAGACTCTTTTTCCTGAGTTAAATCTGACCTCAGACACTTACTAGTTGGGCAAGTCATTTAACCCTGTTTGCCTCAGTTTCCTGATCTGCAAAATGGGCTGGAGAAGGAAATGGCAAACTACTCTAGTAGCTTTGCTAAGAAAACCCCAAGTGGGGTCACAAAGAATCAGACACAACTGAACAACAAATATATTGGATCATGAATTTAGAGAGAGGAAAGGAACCTTTGGCAAGTCTTTTAAAGATCTAAGTTGGTTGATAAGTTCCTTGTGTATATACACAACTTCTTCTTTAGATATCTTCCTCTATTCTTCATCATTGGAATTCTTTCTTTTTGTGACTGTAGAGTACCATTCTTGAGAGTCTCTCTTGGGTTAACTTAGCTTTCAGAGTTTTAGGCCATGGGATTTCAACTTAACTTTTTTCTTAACTCTTTGGATTCTGCTATGTTAAAATCAGAGTGTATACCAAACCATACCTGGGTTTCCTTTTTTGCCCCTATTTAGAATTCTAAGATAGCTTGGTGACTTCATCCCAAAGTTCCTATTGTTTCTATTATATTCCAGTCAATAATCTCTAGTACCTAGCAACAGGTGTCTTCAATGTAGTAGGAACTTAAGAAATTCTTGTTGGTGATGAATGCAAACAACTTAATGTGATCAATGTAGATTTAGAGGGAAGTCTTGGATGGAGTGCCCCAGGCATCTTTCCATGGCTCCTGTGATGTTCAAAATTTTAATCAGAGGGTCTGTATTTCAGGCATGGAGTGACAGCCAATGCAAAGGGATAAAGATGGGAGATGGTATAGTAAGAAGGCCAGTTTGGCTCAGCCGTAGAGTTTGTGGAATGGGATAATGTGTGAGAAGGCTTGGGAAAGTAGGTTGGGAATAAATTGTTTGTGAAATGATTTAAATACCAAACAAATTTGGTTATATTTATTCCTAGCAGTAATAAAGGGACAGCTGGTGGAAGATAGAAGGGCCTGGTGTTTCTGTGGTCTATGGGGTCACAAAGAGTTGGACAAAACTGAACAATAACAATACAAAGAGGTAATAAATTAGAGTTTATTGAGCAGAGTAGCAACATGGTCAGACCCATGCTTTGGGAAAATCACTCTGGCAGATGGACTGGAGTGGGCTGAGACTTGAAGCAGGGAGACCATTTTGGAGGTTGTTCAGGTAAAAGGGCCAGAACTAAGGTGGTGGCTGTGTGGGTGGGGAAAAGGAGATAGAGGCCAGAGATGTTGGGGAGGTAGAAACCACAATATGTGGGGTGAATGACAGCTAGGAATTGAGGAACTTGGGTGAATGGAAGGATGGTATTAATTTTGACAGAAATAGGGAAGTTCAGAAAGGGGGTGGATGGGTGGGGGAAAACAATGAGTTCTGTATTAGGTATGTTGGGTTTGAAATGCCTGTGGGACATTCAGGTTAAAATGTCTAATAGTTAATTGGTAATATAGTACTGGAACCCAAACCTTGTCTAGAGAGAGAGAGAGAGAGAGTGTTCTCCTACTCATATACATAGAGATGATAATTAAATCCATGTGAGCTTATAAAGTCACTAATAATAACAACAACAACAATAATAATAACTAATGTTTATAAAGCACATTCAAGTTTACAAAATGCTTTGGAAATTATATTCTCAAAGGAATCCTGTGAGGTAGGTATTGTTATTTAATCCCGTTTTACAGCTGAGGAAACTGAAACTGAGAAAGATTCAGTAGCTTGCTCAGCATCACATAACTAAGAAGTATTTGAAGTAGGATTTGAACTTGGATCTTCCCGACTCCACGTCCAGGTCTCTTTCCACGATGCCCCCACATGAGAGAATAAAGAAAAGGAAGAGAAAGGGATCCAAGGGGAGCCTCAGGGCACTCCCATAGCTAGGGAGCATGAGAAGAATGAAGCTCACTGTTGGTGGGCTAACCAGTCCATCCATATGTATCTTGTGTGATGTTAAAGGGTAGTAGATTAACTAAAAGAAAAAGAACATGACTCACTCTCACAGTGTTTTCCTGTTACTGCTCCTCCACAGCCAGCAATAAACCTGCCCTCTTTCTTTGGAAGGAGAGAAAATATGGGGTCAAATACCTGCTTTGAGGACTCATGCTACTTGCCTGAGAAAGGTAAGTAACCCCACGTGTGTAGATATTTTTTTCTCCAAAGGAGAAAATAAATACCTGCCTAGTTACACATCAAATCCAGTGAGAAGAGCTTAAAAGCAGAACAGTACAGGGCAGGGCTGGGCAAGCCAGGCCTAGGAATGTGGTATTGGCAGGTTTCTGCCTCTCCTTCACTGGCCCACAGATGCAATGGAGCATCCATCTGGAGCCAGCCACATCTTCATTCAGAGTTTCGTTTACAACACCTTTCTGAAAGCCTTTCCTATATGATATATCCCTGGGTTGACTAAGATAATCCTCCAATAAACCAAAGGAGGAGAGAGTATCTGACTAATTCCTTACCCTGGGGAGTCAAACAAATTCAAACTAGAGTGACCTTTTAGCATCACAGGCTATGTGTCACTGCTCACTTTTATGTGCCACTTAGCCCCGTACAAAGGTCACCTCAAGGAAACTGGTCCCGCAAGTGTTATCAAGGGTTTCAAACTTCAGGAAAGGGGGGCAGCTAGGTGGCGCAGTGAATAGAGCACAAGCTCTAAAGTCAGGAGGACCTAAGTTCAAAGCTGGCCTCAGACTAAACACTTGACACTAGACGTGTGACCCTGGGCAAGTCACTTAACCCCAATTGCCTTAAAAAAAAAAAAAGGAAAGCAAACTTCAGAAAAGGAAAGCTAGAGCTTCAGAATGGGAGCAGGTCTATACCTCAGGAATATAAGAGGGGGAGAAGTCTTCAGTCTAAGAAATGAGAGATGGTAGAGGGAGAGAAGCAGAGGGCTAATAAAATGAGGAGGGAAGGAGAGAGAACGAGTGGAAGGAAGAGAAAGGATGGAAAGGAGGGAGGGAAAGAATTTGAGAGAGAGGATGGGAGGGAGAGAGAATTGAAGGGAGAGATAGAAGGAGAGAGAGGGAAGGAAAGAGAAGAGGAGAGGAGAGTGTGAAGAGGAAGGCAAGAGGGAAGGGAGGAAGAAAGAAAGGGACATAAGGGAACTTTGTAGCTAATTCTGCATTCACAGTTGGTGAGTGAGTCTTGAATTGTATGAGTATGTGAGAAGAGGTTCTAGGACCAGGCATAGGTAGATGCATACTGCCTGTGCAGCTGTCCAGAAAGGATGAACAGTCCTGGATCTTAATGACAGACATAGCTGAGAATCACAGAATTTCAGAATTGGAAGGGACTTTAGTGGCCAGCAAGTTGAACCATACCTGGAATATAATTCACTTTACAACATAACCAATGAGGAATCATTCAACAATTTATTTGAAGACTTCCAATAAGGGGAAAACTCATCATCTGCAAAGGCAGTCCATTTCCCTTTTGGACAGCTCTCATTTTTCAGAAGTCTTCCCTTAACCTTAAGCCTAAACTTGCTTTTGCAGTTTCTACCCATTGCCCACAGTGCTACTGTCTGAGCCCAAGCAGAAAGACAATCCTTCTTCCACGTGACAATCCTTTGATTACTTGAAGACAGTTATGAATGTCTCTTATCTAAATTTATGATCCTATGATCCCTGTTAAATTTCATCGTATTAGATTTTACCATCATTCTAGTCTGCCAATACCTTTTTGGATTCTTGCTCTACCACTTGATAACCATGCCATATATGCCTTGATCCAAGCCATCAATAAAACTTTAAATAACAGGGCTAAGCACAAATCCCTGAAGTCCTCCTTTGGAGACCTCCTTCAAAGTTGACATTGAACCATTAATAACTCCTCTTTCTTAGCCTTCTCTATGCTCTAGCTGACTCATAATTAGGAATTCTGGAGCCTGGAACAAATTCAATTAGAAATAGGGAAACACAAAAGACAATTTACCATGGCTGGGTACAGTTGTGAAGAGGAGATAAAGATCTGCGAGGTGGCAGGCAGAGGTGGGCAGGAACCTCATGGCAGAAGGCAGGCCAAGGAGAGGTGTATCAGTCTCGTGACACTTCAGAAAGGTGGGAGGGCTGTTCTGTTCTCTGTCATAAAGCCAGCCCTAGTTAGCACCTTGGCTTCCTCTGGCAAAGGGAGGTACTTTGGAAATAACCAAAAACACTAGAGTTGAAATGTGAATATAATTAATAGCAAGCAGTATTATGAATTAGGAATGAGTCTCTGCCACTTAGATATTATTGGAAATTTGCATTGACAGGTAAGTGACCAGTTAATTCCACCCCTGTGCTAATATTTATTCTTTATGGTCTAGCTCTTTTGATTCCAGCAGAGATAGAGGGAGACAAATGCCACACCTTTTCCCTCACTGTTTCTCCTTGTGGGGAGGGGTGGGACCCAAGCCAGATTCCTTGGGGAAAATGGGCCACCACACCTCCATTGTGACTGTGCCCCATTGTGACTAGTAGGTCACAGAAAAACCACTGAGGGCACAATGAAGGTGAAGGCTGTTGGAATGAGAGTTTGGGTCCTGAGGCCTTCTCATATCCCAAGTGAGTTCTTCTTAGACACTGTTCCCTTCTTCACTTGGCCCAGTGATCTCTCCCTGGTACTGTCCCTGCTGCCCTGCCCCTTCCCTATCTCAATCACCCTTCCCCAAGGTGCAGGAATTCCTACATATGGCTCTAGACATTACTCTTCAGCTTGAGATAGCCTTTGATGGCCTTGCATGTAAAGTTCAGATTTACCTGCTTGCATTCAAAACCTACAAGCTGTAGCCTTATCACCCCTAAGGGCAGAGCATCGAGCTCTGTCCCCAAACATGTACTGTGCTTTTATAACTCCATGCCTTTGTTCATCCACTTCTTTATACTTGGAATACCCTCTCTATCCTTCACCTGTAAAATTCCTATCTGTCTTTTTAAGTCCATATCAAATGCTATCTCCTGCAGGATGCCTTCCTCACTTCCATACCCAGTTACCTCTACCTGCCTGCTAAGACTAGAACTTTGTTTTGAAACTCCAGGGACATTGTCTACAGCCATTACTGTCTTTCCATCCACTACTCAATTACCCTGATAGATCATATCACAGTAGTCAGGATTTTAGGATCAGTCCAGATGGGAAGTACCTAAGAACTGTCCACTGGCTTTTACTGTCTCTGCCCTAGCACTATTCCTGCTGGACCCCCAAGCATTGCCATCTGATCTACCATCACACCCTAAAGGCTCTAGGGCTTTGTCATCCACCCAGCTGCAGCATGTAGTGTTCCTTTCTATCCACTAGGCAGCTGGACCCTCCCCTAATTTAGAATGTCAGCTCCTTGAGGGCAGAGACTCTACTGCTTATCTACCTGTATCCACAGAGCTTACCATAGTGCTTGGAGTATGGAATATAGCAAGCTTTTTAATGTTTTCCTATTCCTTTCCAAATTTGCTAATATACTTATTTTAATAATATATTCATATAGTAATATATATGTTATAAATATTATATAATATACTTAAAATACAGTGTGCTTAATCATATACTGAAATATAATGTAATGTACTTAATATTATACAGTGTAATTTCCTGTGTTTTATCACCTTTCTAAATGTAAGGTTTTTCAGGGCAGGCATTATATTTTATCTGAATTTTTTTTCTCCCATCAAGTTTAGCACACTGATGCTTAATAAATGTTTTCTGTTTTGGAAATATGTTTTGCATGACTGCACATGTATAACCTATATCAAATTGCTTGCCTTCTCAGTGTGGAGGGGAAGGAAGGTGAGAGAGAATTTGGAACTCAAAATATTAAAGAACAGATGTTAAAAATTGTTTTTACATGGAATTGGAAAAAAATAAAAGATTAAATTAAAAAGTCTTATAATTTGTCTTTTGATAAGTTCAGTTGATCCTATCTCAATTGTGTCTTTTGAATCTACCTTTTCTATTCCATTGACATCAACTTAGTTCAGGATCTCTTTATATGAGTTATATATATATATATATATATATATATATATATATATATATATAGAGCATTCTAACTCATTTTTCTACTTCCTATTAATACCATTCCATTTATCTGCCAAGTTTTATGCTCCTGCCATACATATTATAGGTGTCTTCCACTTGATGGTATCACCTCTCAGTTTTCATTAACCATCAACAATTCCCTATTGCCTATGGAATTAAGTTCAATTTCCTTTGCTTGGCATCCAAAACCTTCCATGATTTGGTCCCAACTCCCCTTCATACACCCTTTGCTCTAACCAAATCAAGGGCAACCTGATATCTAGTTGAAAGAGCACTAATCTAGGGCCCAAGGACCTGATTGAATCATGGCTTTGACACTTACCACCTGTAAGAGTTTGGTGAAGTCATGTCACCTGGATGGATCTCAGCTTCCCCATCTATAAAATGAACTGGTTGGATTGAATGATGATCCATGAGATCCACAGATCTCCAGTGGGTCTGATCAGAACTCCAATCCTTAAGGGATCCATGGATACATTTCAAGGGGGTATGTATATTTAGATGGGAAAAAAATGGCATGTTTATTTTCACCAACTATTCACTGAAATTTAGTGTTTCCTTCAGTGCTAGATTTAAGTGACAAAGATGATTCTGAGAAGGGGTCCATGGAATTCACCTGACTGCCAGTGGATCCATGACACACAAAAAGTTAAGAAGTCCTAGATTAGATGATCCCTGGTTCCTCCCATGATCCTCTGAAAGGGTTGTGGAGAGGGTTCCAACATGAAATACTTCCCTCTTTTTCTTATGTTTTCAGAGCACTTTTCTCACTCATAATCATATAACTCTATAATTTTCATTATAGAGAACATGAACAATGAGGATTCAGGAACCTCAGAGTGTAACCTCTTCCAGAGGTATTTGCATTTTAAGGTCCTCTTCCCAAACAAAGGATGGATGAACAAAAACAACGACATTTTAATGAGAAAAAAGTCTTAAAGCCAAGGCAGTCTATTAGAAGAGAAAAGAGAACAGAACAGATAATAACCTCATTTAAGAAATGAAACAACTCAGGTAGAACAAATCAAATCCCAATACTTCGCACATCCAAATACTTAAATTCTTGCTGGATTATATTATATTGGATTGAATAGGGGGAAAAGTTCAA